ATTTTTTAATCCCGAATATCTCTTCAACCTGATGGTGTAAACCTTTGAAATTTTAAATATAAATCAGTTGAGCGAGTTCCTAAGATTTAGGGATTTGAAATTCAGAGTTTGTAGCAAAAGCTTTATTCCTTTTAGTCTTAATCTTTTCGCCAGGAATGTTTACAACTGCAAATAGTAAAATATAAAAACGTCATTTAAAAAAATTAGTGAACCTATATTTATTTAAGCTAGTTTGTACATTTTTAATTTCTAGTTTTAAACATAAATTTCAGCTAGTTTGTACATTTTTAATTTCTAGTTTTAAACATAAATTTCAGCTAGTTTGTACGTTTTTAATTTCTAGTTTTAAACATAATTTTTAGCTAGTTTGTACATTTTTAAATTCTAGTTTTAAACATAAATTTCAGCTAGTTTGTACATTTTTAATTTCTAGTTGTAAACATAAATTTCAGCTAGTTTGTACGTTTTTAATTTCTAGTTTTAAACATAATTTTCAGCTAGTTTGTACATTTTTAATTTCTAGTTGTAAACATAAATTTCAGCTAGTTTGTACGTTTTTAATTTCTAGTTTTAAACATAATTTTCAGCTAGTTTGTACATTTTTAATTTCTAGTTTTAAACATAGATTTCAGCTAGTTTGTACATTTTTAAGTCAAACTATAGAAATATTGAACTGAAAAGTTTGATAAATTGCAGCGTTTAAAAATACTGTTTCATGCAAGATACTAATGCAAGGAAAATTAATTGAGGTCGCGTATACTCTGCGTACATATTGAAACCAGTTCTCTATGGGCGGAATTTCTAAACAAGAATAGATGCATCAGTGTTCGTTTAGTATCCGAGGAGGATAAAAACATTTTGAAAATTCACATAATAGTTTCCTAAGACCAGAATATTTCATAGATTATTTTTGTGCAAATGGATTTCATGTCAGGATTCGACATCCGTCTTGTGTTTACTTTTCCGCCCAAAGACAGTACACTGCAGCCTGCAGGGCAAAAAAATGCGTACACCTCTGAAGTATCTTTCCTTGCATTAGTATCTTGGTTTTATGGAAAGTTTTTGACCTCAATTTCCAAAAATGTGTGTCCAAAACTTTAACAAAATTTGAACTTATTGTTTCTAATGCTCTTCAATAAAAAGTCAGTAAAATATTAATTGTTTTAAAAATCTGCAAGAATTGAATTATTTATTACAAACACTCAAATCCTTAACTTTGTTGCGGAACATATCTTTAAAATTAGAAGACTCTTTGGAGAAATATACATTTTATTTTTTTTGTTAGAAATAAATTCTCTATGCGTTCTCTTCTCCACAAATGTACATCAATATCAATCTCAGATTATTTTCCTTAGAACAGAAACAAGGTTCTGCACTGCTTTATTTGGAAACCAAGATAAAATTTGTTCAGAAAAAAAAACTTATTTCTCTCAACAAACAATAATTTTTACTTTGATTAATTGATCAAGCAGAATTTATAATTTGAAATATCAAAACAACATCATGTTGCAAAAATATAAGGGTAAGAAAAATTTGAGGTGATTGATCAGTTATATTTTCCTGACAAAATATCCTTAAATGATCTGGATAAAAAGGCAATTGACTCTTAAAATTTGTACGCTCATGATAGATCTACTCTACCACCTGCCTTTTAATTAAATTTGAATCTACATATTATGGAAAGTTGGAACCACTGTATTTCTTAAAAAGAATTAACTCGTAATTTTTCTTGGAAAAAAAAAACCTCAGCAAAAATTAAAACCCCGTTTTACGCCACTTTGTCACTGATCAGTCTTAAAGCAACTGTGAATTATTTAAAGCACTGTTAAAAAATTGTTACTTTGAAATACGTTCAGGAAATAAGATATCCGTTGTGAAAAAGTCATTATTTTCTTTATTAAGATATAAATCAAAATGTCCACTGCATGTCGTGCTTACAATCTCAGTTCCGATTATTGATATGGGTGAATTTCATTAATGTATCCGTGAAGAAAAAATGAAAAAATATAAACGCCGGACCAAAGGATTAAGAACAATAGAATTATCTTTTATGTTAGTTTAGTTAGATGTTATGTCAGATTTTGACGGGGAGGGGGTGGGGGGGGGGGGGTGTTAATAACTTAAAACGGTTTACATTATTAGAACGCTTGAACTTCTTCATTTTTTCAACATCATAGTTGTGAACAAATTTTGCTAATCCTAAATCGGTAATGTTACATCGTCTATACGCAACATCCCCCCTACTGAACTTCCGACCTACGGCAATATCGGACTTACGCCAGCTGTTTATTTTTGTATTATTTGAGGGTTAGCTTAGGTTAAGACAATTTTTGGGCCGAGCGCTGCGGCATAGGACAGGCTAGGGGGCCGAGCGCCGCGGCTAGGAATGGCTAGGGGGCCGGGCGCTGTGGCCAGAAGTCTATATAGCAGCTGTAAAACCACGTGCTAGTAGGTCGGATGTGTAGTATAGCGGATTTGGCGTAGGTCAGAAGTGGAGTATAGCGGATTTGCGTAGGTCAAAAAATACACCACCTCCTAAATCTAAACCCTAATCGGCAATGGTATAAGCACGACGACATTTAATCTATGCTGTTAGAACTTTTATAATAAGAGGCTAAAATATCCGACCTACTGTTGTTTGAGCTATTGAATATTTCGACAATTGTTTATGTTTCTAGATGGTTGCTTCCAAATGCAATGTAGTAATTAGAATAAAGATAACGGCACATAGGGCTACCAACAGTATAAAGAAGATAATTTCGATTACACTTTACTTGCATACAATTTATGACATAACAAATTTAAATGTGTATACAGAGCGTCCCATATCATATTAGATTATCTCCAATCTTTAACGCCAAAATACACACATGATACTCGAAAAATCTAGCATTTTCTGCAAAAAAATTTATTAGTCTTGTTAAATCTTTCAAAATTATTTTTCTTAAATTTTTTGATTTGTTTTCCAAATCGTAATTTTGATTTTCAACAAGGAACAATTATGAAATACATAAATAAGAGTTCACTTGAACATGGTATACAATTACACATCGTCTAAATCATACAATTTATCATTTTTAGGTTGAATAAATGTAAACTACAGTTTAAAAGATTAATATGAATGTCGTTTCCTTCATACCAGTGCTGATTTCCAGGGTTTGCATTTCTCTTGCAGGGTGAGGGTGGAAGACAAACAAACGGCGGGTCGGTATTTCAAGAAAATCAGAAATGCTTCATAACTTTTATAGAAATCAAGGTACAGGGCTAAAACTTATATATTTGAAAATCCCTTGCCACCCGGCCACCCACCCCAGCCTGTATTAGACAAAATAGCCCAGCCTGGATAGGTTTAATATTGGTAGGTGTTTTTTTTTTATCTTTTTGTCTGTTAAAGGACTATAAGCTAATAATTTCAAGTAATCCTCCATGCAAAGATGGCAATGCCCTGTTCAAAACTGTATACCATCAAAACCTTTGACAGAACCAGGTTGTCGGACTTATTCCGAAAACGTTTGTACTTGTTGAACACTATGTTTCCCACTTGTTTTAACGTTTAACTTTCTGTAACGTCAAGGGATACAAGTAATGCATCTGCTGCGTTGGGTTCACACTGTACGCAGATTGCAGGGTACACCGCGTTTTATAGGAATTCATCTGGTTTTTAAGAGATTTAATCACAAAGCTCTCTTTATTCGATGGTCAAACAGTCAAAGGTTAAAAGGGCACCATTGTAAACCGAGTATTGATCTCTTTGGATGAGGTTAACTTAAAATTAAGCATACAGTCCCTTTAAGTAATTATTTTTCTGATCTATATCATTGTTTAAAGGGACTGTAAAGGAAAAATGATAGGGGGTATAGGCTGAAAGCTCATCACTTTAGCTCTTGATCGCGACCCATAAAAGTTTTATCTTTTTACATATATGAACTTTCGTATAATTTTAACAGAGTTTTATATCAATTTCTCGAGACAGGAACATCAGATAAAACTTTCATGGGTCGCGATCAAGAGCTAAAGTGATTAGCTTTCAGCCTATACCCCCTTTCATTTTTCCTTTACTGTCCCTTTAACTGTTGCTTTTTTTCCTAAATAGTAGATTGTCGGTTTGAGTTTTTTCCCTTTGTTACCTGGTGACTCGACCTAGTTTAACTAATATCCTGAAGGAAAATATATTCACAGCATATCTTTACAATATTATACTTTGCAGAATCATGAAGATTTATTAGGTTTTCCTAACATAAAATATCTTTACAATTACAATATGTACAGAAAAGTGGAGTCATTCTTTAAACCTGTTTTGACAGGAAAGGAGATGTCGTCATTGCAGATGTGCATGAAAAAATAGGGACAGAATTTTACACTTTACACCAATTAAAGGAACTGTAAGCATAATTTAAAGTAACATTCAATTTAAACGATTCCCTTAAAACATTTGACTGAACTAGGCTTTCTGAAGGCATATCCTTATTAATCTTTAAATTAAATTTTCTAGCAGTGGCAAATAATAATAATTTATTTTCAAATGTTTTACAATAAAAAGTCAATATTTTCAACGCTTACAGTCCCTATAAACCGATTTTAGATTTTTTCTATTTTTAGCTGGTTCATTATTGCTTTTGTTTGAAAATTATAAACTTTATATCGTATAAGTACATATCTAAATGTGTAATATCTTGAACACAATAAAACCAATAAAACAATTTTTCTTAGTTTTCTAGAACCATGTATAATAAATGTACAATACATAACTTGATCCATATTATTCATCATATCTCGCTTAAAGGTTTAGACAATAGAAAACTTACCCTGAATCGAAGAAATATGCTTGATGTTTGTTTATATAAATCAAATTTTATTTTAAAAATCCTTTTAAAATTCAAATTTACTTTTGTGAAATCAAATGCTGTCTCTTACCTCCTTAAGAAATCTTTTGTTAAAACTTCCATTTTTTCCAACACTGATCGTGAATATAATTTTCTTATTTTCTAATTTTCAGAAAATGTACTCAAACAACAGCTCCTCTCTTTGGGAGACTTGTGATACAATCGAATGTTTGGTAAGTTAATGCAGGTTAACCCCAATCAAGTAGATTTTTGATTTCCTGGGCTTTGCTTCAGTTCACTCAATAGTACAGGGTTACCCACAAAAGAGAGACTTCAGAGACGTTCAACTGTACAGGATTAATACAGTATGTTTACATTCATGGTTTCCAACAGCTGTAAACTTGTTTCTTACTTTGCCATAATTAGATAAGCAATTAAAAGTCTATGTTCACTACAAAAGACTTAATTTTAGCTTGGAATTTTCAAGTTTACGCGTCGTCTTTACAGTCCCATCCTTTTTGGGTAACCCTGTATATACTCTCATTTCCTGGTCCTTGCTCCAGTTTACTCAATAGACTTTGCTCTCATTTCCTGGTTTTTGCTTCATTTTACTCAATAGTATTTGCTCTCATGTCCTAGTCTCTTCTTCAGTTTACTCAATAGTATATTTGCTCTCATATCCTGGTCTTTGATTCAGTTTACTCAATAGAATTTGCTCTCATATCCTGGTTTTTGCTTCAGTTTACTCAATAGTATTTGCTTGCATTTCCTGGTCTTTGCTTCAGTTTACTCAATAGTCTTTGCTCCCATTTCCTGGTCTTTGCTTCACTTTACTCAATAGTATTTACTCTTATTCCCTGATCTTACTTTTGGTCTATTTAATAGCTTTCTTGTTATTGCTCCAAGAGAAAATTTGAGGCAAGACTATTATTGAGATTGAGATCAGGCTTGATACTTTAATTTTTATTTTTTACCCTCCCGGCATTTTATAAATAAAAAATGCCATTTTGTTGAAATTTTTTTTCTTCAAAATTTCCGTTTCATAAAAACAATTCTAAAGAAAAAATCCGCGGCATTTTCAAAACGTCTCACTTTTTATCTCAGTCTTGAATAAAGCCTTGTTAAAAAAAAGAAAATTCAACCTTTAAATCAAATTGATCACAAAAAAACTATGCCGTTATTAAAATCCTCGAAACCATGGGTTGAGATTAGTATATCGAATTAAATAAACGACCTTGCATTTTTCATAAACATTACCTTTAAGTAATTGAATTCTGATGAAAACAAAATATGTTTTCAAAAACAACCCTCTTCAATACATGTTTGTTTTGTATATTTAACAAGTGGCAACATTTTGTCAGATACAGTGTTACCAACAAAGGAAGAGACTTTACAGAATTCATCCATTTTCTTAGTTCACCACAGCTCTGTTCACTTTTTTCTTTCATTCATTTTCTTAGTTCACTACAGCTCTGTTTACTTTACGGAATCATCCATTTTCTTAGTTCACTACAGCTCTGTTCACTTTACGGAATTCATCTATTTTCTTAGTTCACTACAGCTCTGTTCACTTTTTTCTTTCATCTATTTTCTTAGGTCACTAGAGCTCTGTTCACTTTTTTCTTTCATCTATTTTCTTAGTTCATCACAGCTCTGTTCACTTTTTTCTTCATATATTTTCTTAGTTCACTACAACTCTGTTTACTTTTTTCTTTCATATATTTTCTTAGTTCACTACAGCTCTGTTCACTTTACGGAATTCATCTATTTTCTTAGTTCACTACAGCTCTATTCACTTTTTTCTTTATCTATTTTCTTAGTTCACTACAGCTCTGTTCACTTTTTTCTTCATCTATTTTCTTAGTTCACTACAGGTGTGTTCACTTTTTTCTTCATCTATTTTCTTAGTTCACTACAGCTCTGTTCAGTGTTTTCTTTCATCTATTTTCTTAGTTCACTACAGCTCTGTTCACTTTTTTCTTTCATCTATTTTCTTAGTTCACTACAGCTCTGTTCACTTTTTTCTTTCATCCATTTTCTTGGTTCACTACAGCTCTGTTCACTTTACGGAATTCATCTATTTTCTTAGTTCACTGCAGCTCTATTCACTTTTTTCTTCATCTATTTTCTTAGTTCACTACAGCTCTGTTCACTTTACGGAATTCATCTATTTTCTTAGTTCACTACAGCTCTATTCACTTTGCGGAAATCATCCATTTTCTTAGTTCACAACAGCTCTGTTCACTTTTTTCTTTCACTTCCAAATCATGATATATACCTTTAAAGAATATATTGAATGCAGACATTCAAATTCAACCTAGAGAAGATTTTCAGGTCGTCATTAAAGTTTTCTCTGTGGGTAGCCCAGGATATAAGTGTTTCCCGAATCCTTTGTGGGTAACCCTGGATATAATTGTCTCCCAAACCCTTGGTGGGTAGCCCTGGATATAATTGTCTCCCAAATCCTTTGTGGGTAGCCCTGGATATAAGTGTTTCCCAAATCCTTTGTGGGTAACCCTGGATATAAGTGTCCCCCAAATCCTTTGTGGGTAACCCTGGATATAATTGTCTCCCAAATCCTCTGTGGGTGACCCTGGATATAAGTGTCTTCCAAATCCTTGGCGGGTAACCCAGGATAAAAGTGTTTTCCAAATCCTTTGTGGGTAACCCTGGATATAATTGTCTCCCAAATCCTTGGCGGGTAACCCAGGATATAAGTGTTTCCCAAATCCTTTGTGGGTAACCCGGGATTTAAGTGTCTCCCAAATCCGCTGGTTATTTTCTATATGAAAGAATAAACAGTCGAAAAATTAGCTTTTTACATTCTTAATTGTTAACATCAGGGAGAAATTATAAAAGAGTCTTTACCACAAAATCTGATTTATTAGTCCCTATATCTTTGCACTTCAATGTTGTGGAGCTCTTTGATATTTTAAACTATGAATAATCTAAGTGTAAAATATCAAAGGTTTATACCATCAGATTACAATTATATTGTTTTTTTTTCAGCAATTCGATCGGGTTTCAAGAGATTTAAACACATCGATATCCCTGTACACTATGAACAGTCAAAGGTTTAAAGGTTCCTGTTGTAAAAAATCCGTTCCCTTTTTGCTTGGAGTAAAATTTGAAATCACGGTTACAGTCCCTTTAACAAGAAATTATCATATTATTGGGAAAAAGTAACCAACCTAAAATACTCTAGCCACGTGATGAGGCCGGTCAGGCATTCTTGACGTAGAAAACATGTTTGCAATTCTTTTGCAAATCATCTTGAATAGAACCCTTGATTCAACTTACAAAAATATTCTCATTTTCATTCCAAAAATAAATTGAACAGATTTTGTGTTCAGATATCAGCAAATGTTTCCTAGGGAACTGTAAACCAAATTTTCACTGATCCTCCATTTACAAAGTGCCATTCGTTGATAAAGATACTCTATCTATATCTTTAATTAATTTTATATATCTTTAAAAAATTTATCTTTGAAGGAATCTTTGAAGGAATAATTACGCATACTTAGGAGGAAAATGACCCGTTCGCTATGCCGACCTGGAGAAAGTGTCTTCATTCTCTCATCTTCTTCATGATGGTTGCAGCTGCAGATATTGGAAATATGATCGGTAAACAAATTTATGTATTTGTAATCATGAAATTTCCTTCTTTATTAAAAGAAAGGAAATCGAGAGAAACTAAGACTAAGTCAGAAACTCTGATTTATATGTTTATATCTTCGCAACCAAATGACCACATCGATTCAATCTACTTATAAAAAGTCATCTGTCGCGGCGCAACACCTTAGACTTCGATTTTGTCTTGAGAATTTGAAACAGCTTTAAATTACAGTGTGTCGTAGACCTTACATATATCAAATTATGAATTCTGTCAGAACAAAAAAACGAAGTTTGAAAAATCAAAGATTTACAACGTCAGGTTGCAAAGATATAGGAATTTGAATTTGTTGAAAAAGATTAATTTTTTTTGATGAGTTTAGTTTTACCAGAGTGATATCTTATTCAGTAGATTTTAGCTGCGGTTCTCTTGTCATTTTACGAGCTGTTTAAAAATAATTATTTTTTTCATTCTTACTTAGATTTTTTTCTTTGAAAGATGAGGTTTTTGCTTTGGCCAATCCAATTGTATTGAAAAATGCGTTTCATTTTTAAAAATTTTAGAAATTAATCTTTGAAAATCATGCATTCTCATTCCTCATTTATGTCAATGATTCGATTATTTAACTTAAAAACAGTTCCCAGTTAAACCATACATTGATGAGTGACAACCTTCTCTTTTCTCAGTTTACTATTATTGCAGGATGTATTCTTATCTGATATTCCCATGGGATAATTTTCTAAACTAAAATCTAAATCTGAGAAGTTTTAAATCTGGACGAACTTTACATTTTAAAAGTTTTAAAGCTGGACGAACTTTACATTTTAAAAGACGATCAATTGCGTCTTCACTTAAATCCAGTCCGCTATGAAAAGTTGGATCAGTTTTTAAGACTGGGTCAGCTTAAACAGTACACATGAATAGGATTACAACTAAGCTTATATATTATCCAGGCTAGAAGCGTTTCCATGCCGGAAATATAAAGGGAATATTAAAATAAGTTAAAAGTCTCTATAAAACATACAATTCTTTTTTTCACTACACATAAAAGCAATTAAGACGTATACGTACATCGTACTTGAATTTATGTACTTAAATAATAAGTGGAGGCACAAAAGTGTGACATAGAACAACCCTTGTAATTTAGTCATCTTGACATACATACAACTTTTAAATTTTCCAAATAAAATTGCTTTAGAAATTCAAAGTCAGCAATCACAATTCTGCATTCAAAAGTATCTTATTTCAGTTTTTAAGTATAACGGAGCTGAAAACTTTAGAGTTGGGTCCCATAGTACCAATCCACTTTATCTGAATATTCACAGTGGACACTTCTGCCAATCCGCTCTTTTCCCTCTTTTTGGATATCCCTACTGGATTCCAACTAAGAAGAGTTATCCCATTAAATGGCGCGCAAAATTTCACGATTTGCGGCTTCTGATTGGCTGTTCGGGATTCTGCATACACCACTCTATTCCTGTATACAAACTAAAGATTAAAATAATTTGAAGATTAATAAAAAGATAAGAACAAGCATTGATCTCGATATCCACAATTCTAAAGTTTTCAACCCACTTCTCTAAATAGGTTTCATTTAGTAGAAAAAGATATTTTATAAATCTGGTTTTTCTTCTCGGAGGATTTGAGTTTAGAAATCCAAAGGAAATTGAGAAATATGAAATCCTGGAGAACTGACATGACAACCAATTTTGTTTTTACACAACTTTAACAAGTTAGTTAAAGAGAAAATGATAAAAAAGGAATTGTGTCTTTGCCACAAATGTAGATTTTTAATCCCCTGCTCTTTGAAACCCACTGTAAACTCCAGTTCATTTCAAGTACCGGCTAGAGCAAGCTGTACAGTACACATACAGACATAAATAACAGGCAAACCGGGACAGCTGTTCCAAGGAGATTCTAGTGAACCTGATGTTTAAAACCATTGATATTTTAGACTTAGATCGCTTGATCTACAGAAAATTCCCAGTGTGAAATATCTAAGGTCTCAGACATTGTGTTTCAAAGATATGGGGATTCGGAAAAGACTCAATTTCCTTGAAACGATTTAGAATCAGACCCAATGATATGGACCGTTGTTCTCAATGTTACAAGCAAGGGAATCGAGTTTTTGCCAGAAACTCAATTTTTCTAATTTCTATATGATTGCAACCTGATGGGGTAAACATTTGATATTTCAAACTTAAATTATTTCATCTAACAGAATTCATATTTTTGAATATCTAAGGTCTACGACATTTAGTTACAAAGATATAGGAATGAGAAAGCAAGTAATTGTGGCAAAGACTCAATTTCTTTGCAACGATTTAAAAACACCGACACACTATTATCCAACAATATTCAATTTTTATGTTTCTAACAAACGTTTGATAATTTCGAACCTACTACTACAGTCCAGCGTTTCCCCCGTAGTTAACTGAATATAAAATTGACAAATATGTAGTACTTACTGCTTCAAAAATATGTTGTAGTAAAACTTATTGGAAAAAGAGCAGATATCTAAAACTTGCCATAACGATTTCCCCATAATCTTGTATTGCTTCAAAAAAAAAAGGCTGAAGAGATAAAGAATTTTTCCGGAAAATTATTCAGCTGGAATTTTGAAAGAAAAGAAAATATTAGAGAAAGATAAAAAGTTGATTGTGCACGTGGTTAAATCAGGTGGTTAAATCATTTGGTTAAATCACGTTGTTAAATGGTGGTTAAATCACGTGGGTTTTTTGCAACTCCTATGTATTATTCATTTTTTACAAAAGTATGATTAAAAATATTGTACTGTAAGTCTGTACTATATGTTTGCATTTATATTATATATATTACATATACTCCCATGCTCAAGAACACATTCTATATTTTCGTGTCCGGCCAAATTACACTTTACTTTACAGTTTACATAAAACCCAATGGTAATACCGAATACAAATACTACAGATATAATAAAAATATAGATATCAGAAAAATATCTCTTACTAACCAGGGCAAGATGCTTATGGTTTTATAAATAAAACACGCAATATTTATGTTTAAAGGAAAAATTTGTGATTTTTAAACCTCCCTAGCACCCTAGCCGTTAAATTTAGAGGTCTAATTTGTTAGAAATAAGCTGGCTTTGACGGTTATTAACATGAATTAAACATCAAAAAATATTAAATAAATTTAGTTTCTACATACAACACAGACGACAATGTCTATATAAGACTAAATTAAAATTCTGTAATCAAATTTATGATTTGATTTAATCTAATGATATATTTTCATATTATATCGGATCATTCGTTCTGAGATTATAATTCATAAAGCATTTTCATATTTCGACTAATAGTATATTAAAAAAATTTATATATCTTCTAATTTATCTTACCTTTCTGATTTGGTTTAATAAGCTGGATACGACTGTGTCGGAAAGTGTCATTCTCTTTTTCGTTTCTCATAATTTAAAAATATTTTATAATTCTCATGACTTATTTTATAAATAGTTAATAATTCTCATGACTTATTTTATAAATAGTTAATAATTCTCATGACTTATTTTAAAAATAGTTTATAATTCTCATGACTTATTTTAAAAACAGTTTATAATTCTCATGACTTATTTTTAAAAAAATTTGTAACACTAGCAAACTAGTTATATGCATCTTTTTTATGTATATTTAGTTCCCAAATGTATATTAACCATTCTTGTGCTTTGTTCTATTTTTATTTTGTCTATAAATGTTTAATCAGAGTGTAACTGTTAGGTCTATAAACATCTACAAACGATATAAACTGTGTATAAAGCAGAATACAAATATATTCTTAGATAACATTATCCTCTGATAAAACACGGAAAATTGTATTGGTATTTTGGTCGGACCGGTACACTGAGATCTTGCCAGTCTACATTTGTTGCATGCAACATACAGGTTTGCCTTTTTACTAGGTAGTCTAGACTAGACAGTACGACCGGGTAGTCTAGACTAGACAGTACGACCGGCTAGGTTCATGCAACTTTGAAAAGGGTGTATTCATTGTATTCATAACGTGCTCACTTCACTACATACAAAATAGATGGAGAAGGTAAAATATATTCAACTTAACTGCTACATATTTGTGACACCGTAGCTCCTCGAGTTTTGATTTATTCAACATAACTGCTACATATTTGTGACATCATAGCCCCTCTAGTTTTGATTTATTCAACATTACTGCTACATATTTTTGACTTCGTAGCTCCTCGAGTTTTTATTTTACGCACAAATTTAAAACAGAAAAGTTATTCCGTTATTTATATATTACTAGATGAAGTGCCCGGCGTAGCCCGTGGAATTAAAAAAAATAGATTTTTAAAAGAAAATAATTTTGAAAAAGGAAAAGAAATGTCGAAATTTATTTAGCCTATGATACTCCCCGCACACCCATGGATTACCTTAAAAAAAATCAGCTCATTCGGTCCAGCGGTTCGGCCAGCTATAGCTAGCATATAAATATAAAAATATGTATATACATGTTACATGAGCGAAGAGCTTTATTATATAGTTCAATTTTTTGTCCTAAACAAGGTCTTCAAGGATAAAAACAGATAAGATTTCAATTTTAAATGAAAATTTTACTTTAGTTTAACGTGACTTAAACTATACATTTTGGTCATATAAGTATGAAGGCTATGTTTTGGGAATATTCCTGTTATAAAGCAGAGGCGTCGGGCGTTGCCCGTGGTAGCTAGATAGCTGGAGATGTCCAGGTTTTAAATACAGTTTGGAAAAAAAGGATTTTTTTAATTCAAACTTGTGGAAAACAAATTACATAGTTGGCAAGATATGGCTAAATCAGTGGAATAATTTTGCGTCTGCGAAAGTTTTTAGAAATAAAAAAAGTAACTGAATAAAGTTATTGAACCAGGCTTTTATAACAAACTAGTCATGTTCTTAACAATCTTATTAAATTCCTCTGCAGCAGTATAGCAAAGTTTAGATGAATCCTTTCACATAACAATAATCAGAGCTGAAAACATTAG